CATTTTTGACAGAAAATAAGTGTAATGTCACAAGTGACAGAGCTCATTCCTACAACAGCTGGTTTCCTGATACTGACCCCACGAAGCAGTACTTTCTTGAGGTTTGTTTTTACAACCCAATAGCTTGCCATAACTTCGTACTGTAGGACACACAGGCTTAACTCGCTATTTTAAAAAAATACATTTCATTGCATGCATTTCCTGTCTACACTTACTTGGTGCTAGCTTGGGTTCCTTTGAATGTTTCTGCAGGAAATCATTTGGAGATGGCACTGCAACTTTTGCTGGCCCCATAGTTTTCCACTGAGATTTATTTTTCTGTGCTTCATGTTTCACAAATGTTCTCAATTTGGCTATAAACCTTAGAGGTTAAAAATAAAGAAGTTAAGGGTCAGAAAAAGTATTCAAAATACTTAAAAGAATATACATTTTTTTCTGTAGTTCATGGCAAAAGCCTAAGCTGGGTTTTTTTGTGCTCTCTCCCAAATAAAGGCCATCATTCACACAACCTCCATGCTAAGGCTAAACCCAGTACTGCACTGACAAATGGGTTTTCTGGTTCTGAAGTTAGCTTGCTTCTTTCTTCTGCTCTTGTGTCTTTAAGGTCAATATTATCACACTTTGGGAAATGGCTCCCAAATATAAATACTGAACACAGAGATTTTGAAACTCAACAAAACCTGAATTTTGGAAATAAACTGCTTTGAGTAGTGGTTGCATGAATTCATTATGGCACATGGTGTGATTCTTGGGGTGTCCTGTGCAGGGCCAGGAGCTGGACTTGATGATCCTGATGGGTCCCTTCCAATTCAGCATTTTCTGTGATTCTATGAGTCTGTGGTTTATGCTTGAGAAAAGATGTCAAATACAGTTAAGAATTGGACAGAATGTCTTGGATCATAATTTTTTTCTTATTACTGTCCACTGTATCACTGTCTCAATGTTCCTGTTGAACCATCTGTTACAGACTATTATGAGAGATTAGATGAGGTGGGTCACTGCTCCAAAATAGCACAGCACACTATATATTTCTTATATTGCACAGATCCAAACTACTATCCTGAACAATTGTAATCAGTGGTGGGTTTGGCACTGGAACAGCTTATGTGAAAATCAGACGTGAAAAGCTGTATGCATCTGGTATGCACACACGACTGTTTTGGTCTAATGGTGCATATGGCATTGCTACTTCTGCTTTAATCAAAATCTGCAAAAGAAGCCAAATGCTGATCATTAGCTGATTAGCAACATCTTGCCTCTATCTGAAGGACTGAGCTGGCACAGATGTTTGCCTGAGGGAGCAGAACTCCTTGCTCCTGAAGCGAAGGCTACCTCACTGTACCTTCTAAAATCAGTCCATCTTTAGGAAACATGTCATAATAATTTATGGTAGACCAAAGCTGATGAAAATCTGCTCTTCTTTTACAGAAAAAAACATGTTTATGAAAAAACTATACCACATTTTCAGGTAAGGAACCCCCTTCCCATATATTTTACATCCATCCCATGGCTAGGCTTCGCGAACGAAGATTTGGGAAGGGCTCTACCCACGTTTGCTGCAAGTGCAAATATTTTACATATAACATATATAATATGTATATATTTTATATAATTATGTTATATTGTATTATATATTATTATATTTTATATATATTGTTATATTTCTATATATTACATATAGTGCAACCTATTTTATGGAAATACAAAAATAAGAAGAAAGAAACCATGAAACACTGGGCTAGTGAACGTGTATCATAGTAGCAACACTGATGAAAGCTCTTGTGCGTGAGCTGCAAATGCCCAATGCATGTATTTGTACTTATGATCATAACATTATAACATGTTAGAGGACTTGATTAAAAATGTGGAGTTGCTCTGTGTTTTGGAGATTTGGTCTCCAAAATCAGAAAGAGGATTATGTACATAAGAGTACACATAATTCCATAAATACCTCTAAATAAGGAATGAGGTTTTATTTAGTTTTTCTGTTAAATTCACAGCTAAGAGCTACAGACAGGCACAAACCCATCAAGCTGATAAATAATTATATTCCTCACCATTTGCTAGGAGTGGCATTGTAGGCACACAGGAGAAAAAAGCACTGACTTTATGAGGAGTTTGACCTAGTGGAGTTCACAGAGACTTGGAATGAGAAAATGAATGAGAAGACACTGAGTTTATTACATACTGCCATAAGGTAAAGATATCTTTTGTAGACAGCTATAGGCATTATTTTGGACAAAGTGATGTGGCAGTTGTTTCTTTTCAGTGACTTTTCAGGCCAAGGAAGTAGCTAAATATGTCACATACCAATATCATAGGGTCAGAGAGGGTTGCAGGGAAGAAAACATGGTTATGGGAGACTTCAGAATCTAATCCTTCATCATTTGACAAGGAGAAAAATGACAATACATCTATAAGAAGACAGAAGAAGTCTATACATTTTCCTTAAGTGTAACCTTGGGACACCAAAGTTGGGGAAAATGAGAATGCTTGCTGTGATTTCATGAGCAGTAACTCATCAGCTGAGAGTGAAAAGAAAACAACAGAAAACCCACAAAAGACTAGATTTTGTATGCATTAGTTTAAACTGGTCAAATTATGCTCTTAACAAGGTTTTACACTGTTGTTACCAGCTGGATATTTGTCACATTGTAAACCAAAGCAGGAAGTGGGGTGACAACAAAAGTTAATGAGATCAGAAGGGGATTCAGTCAGATTATATCCAACCCAAGGATCCCCTTGCCTAAACTGAATCTGATGGTCATGGAGTATTCAAATCCCTGAATGGTATTAGGACAAGAATGGATTTAGTGTGTGTGCTTTGCCATACTGTCCTTTCACCTTCCTCTGTCTGTAAAAAGTATCTACCTCCAAAAATATGTCCATTAACAATGGAAGCAAACAAGCAAACAAATCTATTTCTACATGGAGAAGATTCAGAACTAGGAATCTCAAAAGTCTAAATCCTTTTACCTGAAAAGCGATAACTATCTTTGTTCTAATGAGTATCACTGATACTTCTACTAATTTCAAAGCTATTGAATTATGACCTACATTAACCTTTTACTAAAGATGCTCAGTGTATGTACTGGGTTTGCGTGGTGAGGTTTTGATAGCAGGCGGGATACAGAGGCGGCTTCTGTGAGAACCTACTAGAAGCTTCTTCCATGTCCGGCAGAGCCGATGCCAGCCGGCTCCAGGACAGACCCACCGCTGACCAAGGCCGGGCCAATCAGGAATGGTGGTAACGCCTCTGTGATAACATACTGAAGAAGAAAAATATCCTGCTCCAATTTTGTTAGTAAGAAATTCAATTACTGTGCTGAATTTGTGTCTGTTTTGCCCTTGACAGTATTTGCTGAGTGATCTCTCCCGGTCCTTATCTCAACTCACGAACCCTTCATTATATTTTCACTCCCCTGTTCCAGTTGCAGAGCGGAGTGATAGGAGTGGTTTGGGTGGGTGCCTGGCACAACAGATAACTGTGTTACTACGGTGTAACAGTTTTCTCTTACATTAATAGGGACTTCAAAAAAACCTAACACATTTGCTTAACTATTGGCAAAAGGCCTTTTCTATATTTTTAAGGTAAGAGGTGAGAAAGAGAAGCAAAAGAAACAATGTCAGAGGAAGAACAGTGTCAACCTGACACACAGAAAGTATGGAAGTGGGGCACTGAGAAAAATAAATTAAAAAGCCCAACTTTTCAGCTGATTACCGAGAAATTGTTGTAAGTGCTAATAACAAAGACATCGCGTGATTCCTCTGCGCATAAAGAGTGCTTTGTAAATTATCAGTGAACAAGATGACACTGAAGACACTAAACGGAATCATCAGCTCATGGAGCAAGCTGTAAACCTTCAGATCACAGAACCACAGAATCAATTGGGTTGGAAAAAACCTCTGAGATCATCGAGTCCAACCTATGACTGAACACCATCATGTCAACTAGGCTATGGCACTAAGTGCCACGTCCAGTCTTTCCTTAAACACCTATAGAGGGATGGTGACTCCATCACCTCCCTGGGCAGTCCATTCCAATGTCTAATCACCAAAAAATTTCTTCCTAATGTTCAACCTAAACCTCCCCTGGTGCAGTTTAAGCCTATGCCCTCTCATCCTGTCACTTGTTACCCATGATTTGGGAGAAGAGGCCGACCCCCACCTGGCTAAACCCTCCTTTCAGGCAGTTGTGGAGAGTGATAAAGTCTGCCCTGAGCCTCCTTTTCTCCAGGCTAAACACCCCCAGCTTCCTCAGCTGCTCCTCATAGGACTTGTGCTCCAGACTCTTTGCCACCTTCTCTGGACACACTCCAGCACCTCAACGTCCTTCCTGATGTTAGCTAGTGATGCCTTAGGAGGAGCAATAACTATTCAAAAACTAGTCTGTTTGGGGTCTTTAAATGCATCGCCTTGACAGAACCAGCCTCCCCGCGGGCAAGTGCCTCCGTCACAACCACGTACCCGGCGGGTTTGACGGGCTTCTCCGCCCGGGGCGGGGGGTCACAAGCACCCTCCTGGGCGCTCTGCGTCGCCATCCTCCAGCCGCGGGACCCCGGGCGCGGTGAAGCGCCCGCTTCCCCGAGGGGCGCCCGCCTCGCTGAGGTACTGGGACACGTAGCTCCCGTCTCTCTGGGGAGCTCTGGGCTCTGAGAGGTTGCGGGCAGGCCGGGCTGGCTCCTGTTGTCCGTTACCAGAGAAACCGTTGCCGGGTAACGGCGCCATGACGGGGCGGAGCCGCTGCCACCACCTGTCGGCGGCGCATGCGCACTGAGCGGCGGTGAAGTCAGAGGGGGCCGGGCGGTTCGGCTGCGCGTGCGCTGTTGGGGCGCGCGGTGGGCGCGCGCGGCACCTGTGGTAGCGGTCCCCGCCCCCGCCGGTACGTGCGCGCGCTGCGCTCAGGGCGCGGGGGGGTGAACCGGGCCGGGACAGGGAGGGACGGGACAGGACAGGACAGGGCAGGACAGGACGGGACGGGACAGGACAGGACAGGACAGGGGTGCCGCCACCACTCCCGAGGGGAGATGGGAGCCCAGGGCTGCCGTGCCCGGGTGGGTGCCCGGGTGGGTGCGGCCCTCCGGTTCCCTCCCTCCGCCCATCCACGCTTCGCCTCCTTCAGGGCGCGTCGAGCCACTGAGACAGGAGTTGCTGAAGGGTCTTGGTCCGGGGCATCATCTGGTGTCTATCCCAGTAAAACGGCTGGGTTTTCGCTAGGGCTGTCGCCGGCAGTGGGTGACAGAATGGTGGGGTATTGCTGATGATGGGTAGGTGCTGCCCAAGTCCAGGTGAAGGGTAAAGGTGTATTGCCAAAGCATAAAACTTCACTGGAGGTTTGGGTGTGAGCTCTGCTGCAACAAAACCACGCCCTTCTGGCGTGAGGGTTCATATCTAAAGTTGGATGGCTAATTTTAGCTGGTTTTGCAGAAAAGTTTTGTCACTGGAACAAAACATTATCTCAAAGAAACTGGTGGCATTCAGTGGCTGTGGGCATCTGTGTACATGTGCTTTATGTGGGTGGGTGCAAAATGGCTACACTGCAGTAGGCTAAAATGACCAGCTGGATAAAGAATTCTCTGCAAGATTTTGCAGCAGGTTAACTAAGTTGATTTCAAACAATACCTATGGCCTAAATTCGTAGAGCAGCCCAGATGTTACACCCAGCAGCTGGGTAGTGCAAACCAAGTGACTGCAGCTGCAAGTGAATCTTTAGTGAAGCTGGACGTGGCAGGCAGGACACTGTGCTTGGTGTGGTTTGCACTCCCTTGGTTCACACATAATGCTTGAAGTGATTCTTAAGTTCAAGAAATAAAGTCACTAAAATACTGTCTCTACATTCTTGGGGGTTTTTAATCCCGAATATAACTCTTTTACATCTGCAAGCTTAATACAGAAATCTCTTTCTGTCCCTATTGTGAATATAGGCATACATAAGGCACTAGAGTGCATTACTGTTGCACTGCAGCTTTATATTGATACTGGATATTACACTTTGGAGTTTGCTTTTCCTTTTTAATGACTGTTACAAAAAACTTGTATCTACACAGGATGACTCGCTAAGGATTGAGGAAAAAAAAGTATACAGTATGATATGCCCATCTTCGCCCTATGTCTTGTAATTACAGCATGTCTACCAGGTCACAGCACTGGATGCAAACACAGACTTACTGTTTGCAAGCTCATCTTTTGCACAGAATTGAACAAATGCTCTTCCCACCCCCACCTCAGTTTTAGGGAGATTTTGAGAGTTTTGCCCCCTTTGACCTCCCTAAACATCATGTGCTGCAATTAGTGCTGATACTGATGTTCCTCTAAGCAAAAAAAGCATAATGTCAGGAGTTTCTTGCTTAATCTTTTTTGGAAATCCATCTTTCTTAGTGACTTTTTTTGGAAGGTAGAGTGTCTTCATGATGTGTTCTCTCTCTTTCCCCCCCCTTTCCTCTCCCCCCTCAAATTACACTCAATACAATTCCAGTATAGGAGTTCTTCACAAATCCCTCGCTCGGTTTGCCATCCCTTCAGAAGAGATTTGAACACAACTCATTCAGCCTTGCTGTTGCACAACACTGTGAGTTATCTGTGTATTTAGGTGGGTCTTGCATTTGTTTTTTCAGAAAGAAAGTATAAAAAAATCAAATTTAACTTGGGAGGTGGGACAAATGTGTATTTTGTTAACATTTTGATTACAAGAAGGTAATCAAGTTAATTGTGATTTGTAAATGTGTAGTTAAAAGCAAGTCTAATAGAGGAAAAACTAATTGGTTTTGAATTTCTGTGAACAATATTATTTGCAAACAGTTGGATTTGTCAGTGGAAATGAGCTGGAACTATGCAGGAGAGTGGAATGAGTCTTTCTCTGAAAAATACCTCCCTGGCACTGATGAAGTCATAGCTGGATTTATGTTTGAAGTTTTGTTCTGAATTTTATGTCCTTTAGGGTTTTTTCCTAGATGTTTGCTGAAGGACTGGTTACTGGTTTTTTGTCTGTTTTTTTTTTCTCTTTCTGAAGCAGTTAAGTGGATTGCCAAGTTGCCTTGGAAAAACCCCCACGATAACTCGTCAGAAGATGTTTCACATTTTTCAATATCGGCCTTTGAGACTAATAACCCAAAACAGTCTTTCTAGCATGTGTTTAAAACTGATGCTTTCAAGACCTGTTGCATTTGCACAGATATGGAAGTCATGGTTCTCAAGCCATTCTCTTCTTGGAAACAAAAATATTATCTTGATGGGACCTCCAGGTGCTGGGAAAACAACGATTGGGAGAATAGTAGGCCAGAAACTAGATTGCCCTGTCATAGACATAGACGACGATGTCCTTGAAACATCCTGGAATATGAGTGTGTCAGAAAAACTGCAGGACGTTGGTTATGAGGAATTTCTAGAGGAGGAAGGAAAAGCCCTGTTGAATTTTTCAGCATCTGGAAGTGTCATTTCCCTTAGTGGGTCCAATCCAATGCATGCTGCTGGCATGCAGCACGTGAAGAAAAATGGAGTAGTTGTGTATCTGGATGTGCCCACAACAGTCATTATGAGCAGGCTGAAATCAATGGCAGTGGATCGCATCGTGGGCCTGTCTGCTGGTAATTCTCTCAAGGACATTCTTCAGTTTAGGAAGCCATTTTACAAAAGGTGGTACGACATCCGTGTTTTTTGTGGAGAGGATGTTGCAGCAGAGGTTGTAGCAGAAAAGGTACTTGATGCTGTGAAGAGATACCAAGACTCAGAACTGGAAACTTTCATTTCAACTCGGTCTAGTAGGTCTGGAAGGAATATGGAAAAAGACTCTCATAAGTATTTCAGTGACATCGTTATTCAGGGCTTAGCCCCTGATGGAGGACTCTTTGTTCCTGAGAGACGACTTCCAAAATTCACTGCTGGAGAATGGCAAGGTCTGATAGAAGCAACTTACATTGAAAGAGCTGAGGTCATACTAGAAAGATGCATACATCCTGCTGATATTCCTGCTTCTAAGCTGGCAGAAATTATTGGAACTGCTTATGGTGAAAACTTTAGTTGTTCTAAAGTTGCCCCAGTTAGGCATTTGGCAGGCAATCAGTTTCTTCTGGAGTTATTTCATGGACCAACAGCATCATTTAAAGATTTTGCATTACAGTTGATGCCACATTTATTTGCCTCCTGCATTCCCAGAAGCTGCAATTACTTGATTCTGGTAGCTACTTCTGGGGACACAGGGAGTGCTGTCCTAGATGGCTTTAGTCGTCTCCATGACACTGACAAACAGAGAATTGCTGTGATGAATTTTTTTCCTGAGGATGGAGTAAGCCCAATTCAAAAATCACAGATGATTGGCTGCCAGAAAGAAAATGCATGGTCAGTGGGTGTCAAATCTGATTTTGATTTTTGCCAGACAGCTATAAAGCAAATCTTTACTAATTCTGATTTTACTGGCTTTCTTACAGTAGAATATGGAACTGCTTTAGCTGCAGCAAACTCCATAAACTGGGCACGACTGCTTCCTCAGATAGTTTATCATGCTTCTGCGTACCTTGATCTTGTTCATCAAGGTATTATTCCTTTTGGAAACCCTGTGGATATTTGCATTCCTACAGGAAACTTTGGCAACATATTAGCGGCTTTCTATGCTAAAATGATGGGAATTCCTATCAGAAAATGTATTTGTGCTTCCAATGAAAACAATGTTTTGACTGACTTCATAAGAACAGGTGTTTATGATTTGAGGGGAAGAAAATTAATTTCTACTTTTTCATCAGCAGTAGATATTTTGAAGTCCTCCAATCTTGAGCGATACTTGCACCTGATTGCTAATGAGGATGGACAACTGGTAACACAATTATTTAACCAGCTGGAAAATCAGGGCCACTTCCAGCTACAGAAGGATCTACTTGAGAAACTTCAGCAGGACTTAGTGGCTGGCTGGTGCTCTGAGGAGGACTGTCTAGCTGCCATTCACTCTGTGTACAGTACTACAGGATATATTTTGGATACGCACACAGCTGTTGCTAAAGTAGTTGCAGATCGATTGCAGGATAGAACTTGCCCAATTATTATTTCATCTACAGCTCATTATTCTAAGTTTGCACCTGCTATTTTGAGGGCCTTGAGGATTGCAGAAATAAACCAGAATCCATTAAGTCAGCTTCACTTGCTGAGTTCTTACAGCGCTCTGCCTCCAATCCACTGGGGCCTATTAGAGACCCTGAAAAAGACAGGGAATGGGGATCATCAGGTCTGTGCTGCTGATATAAGTGTGCTGATGCACCATATAGAAACCTTAATTCAGAATCATTTCATGAAAGTTTTTTGAGCAACTGATCCAATGTCCCCAGTGTCAATTGCAATACCTTCTTAACAAGCTGCATGTTTTACTAGAGCCATCATTCACCTGGGCTGTGTCCAGTCCACAGCACACAGTTTTATACTCAGTTGTCAAGCTTTCAACAGTATTTGTAAGTAATGTGTGTGAGATTTCTAGTGGTGGTGAAAGGCTGTGAATTGAGAGCGTAAAAGACTGGAATACCTTTTTGAAGGTCAGACACAGTAGAGATGCCGGCACTACCGGCTTTCCTTGGCAGTGCTGTCTCCTTCAGAAGCCTGAAGTGTCCTCCATGGAAGGAGGCAGATAATGAAGTCTGACCTTTCTGAAACTAATAGCTCTGGTTTTGTTGCAACAATGATGTGGTCCTTTGGTCTGTGGGTGATTAATTAAACTTTAACTCATTTCACTTAGGGCACTGAAACATAATAAGATACTATAATAATGTTCATATGTTACTAATGAGAATGGATTTCACTACAAAGATTGAAGTGTACTTGTGTTGTTAATCCCTGAACTGTTGAAGAACCATTGACTTTTGTGATATCTTTTTGTATAATGTTTTTTTATGTATCATGAGGCCAGTGTTTATGTAAAAAAATCTGGTCTTTTTGTTTTTCACACTTTTTTCTTCCAGATATTTTCCTGTGTCAAATAGAATACTTGATTCAATATTTTTAATATATTCGAGATGTGACTCTTCCTCCAATGTGTTGTGGTCTCTCTCCTATATGTTTTCTGTTTGAACTTTCAACTTTAGAATTCTTTTTTTAATCCCATAGAGGAATCTGCTAGTAGTATCAGCGGTCTTCTTAAATAAGAACCAGACCTTGCCTTTTATTTACATTTATTTTTTTGCATTACAAGTTTTATCTTTGACATCATAGAGCTTTCTTGTTCTAATTACTTCTATTTTCCTATTTTCTTAAGTTAACGTCCTTGATGTTCTATTCGGTTCTTACTTTGCATGAATTAGTGTAAGAAAGAAGCTTCCCAAATTGCTTGGCATCTCTTCAAGGAAAGCGAAGGATGAATTCCAGTGTGATAGCATCAGAGGTATTCATTATGTAACCTAAAATAGATCTGTGTGGTTTTGCTAATGACAGGCTCTTTATTGTTTTTTTCTGAAGAAAAAAGATAGAGTAGGTTGTCCTAGGAGATCATGTGGTTATGGAGAAATGTATTCTGGTACCTGGGGATATATTTGGCAATGACATAAAATAAACTACATTTCACACTAAGATATATGGCGAAATGATGTCTTGGCTAGTTTTGAGTGGCATGCAGTTACAGGTAAAGAGCTGCCTATCATCAGATGGGAGGTCGACTTTCCCACCAAGATTCGAATAATCTGGTAATTGTTAATATTTTTTGCCTCTTTGATAGGCAACATTCGCTAGATGTCAAGATTCACTTGGGACTTTGAACTGTTATCATATCTGACAGCTTCCTCTGTGTGCCTGCTTGCCGCATTAGAGGCACCTTCTTGCCACATTGGAGGTGAAGAAGACATCGCCTAGTAAACTATTGTAAAGAATTGTTGTTTAAAGAATTTCTTCCGGCCTAAGGTAAAAGACCCAAGCACTTTGCCACAGTGGCTGCATTATACAGTATAATTAAATGTAGCTTATAACATAGGTGTAACACAATAGCTTTCTAGGTAATGCCATTCTTGGATACCTTTTTAGAACTTTTGTAGTTCTTTTCTCTGCTCAATCCTTGTTCACTATTCCTGCAGTAACTTTGAAAAATAAGTTTTTGTTTTCACAGAATCGTGAGCATCCCAAGTTGGAAGGGACCTCAAAACGTCACCCAGTCCAACCTTTTGTGGGAAAGGGAGCCTAGATGAGATTATCTAGCACCCTGCCCAGGCACGTCTTAAAAACCTCCAGCAGTGGGGCTCTTCACATCCCTCTGGAGGTTGTTCCACTGATTGAGTGTCCTCACTGGGAAAAATTTTTTTCTTATATCAAGATGAACCTTCTCTTGGTGCAACTTCCCCTTTGTCTCCATGTGTCTCCTTGTGAAGAGAGAGCCTCTGTCCTCTTTCTAGCCGCCACTGAAGTACTGGAAAGCTGATGAGGTGCCCCCGAACCTCCTCTAGGGTGAAAAGACCTGACTCATTCAGTTTCCTCATGTGGCAGGGGAATTGTCATTTTCCAGACACAACATGGGAAAGACCATAAATATGTAATTTTTAAAAAAAATCCAAGTTCTGTAAGAAAGAATTGCATAAGCATATTGCCAAAAAGGAAGCATTGCTTGTGTCAGTGATAAGGCACATCCACCTTGTATTTCTGTATGTTTCAGTCTGATTCTTACAGTACTTCCAAGTGGAAAAAAAATGTAATGCTTTCTCTGGATGTGCTCAGTACAAGACCAGAATTCTAAATCTTAAAAGACCCAAACAAATCCAAACCCAAACAAACCCAGTTGCCTGGACTGAATTACTGGAACGGGAATTGGTTTCAGCTTCAGAACTCAGTGGAAATCCTGCAGTAATTGGTTCCATGGGGCTTAATGCCATTTGACATCATGGGTCAATTTGTCATACAGTTACAATACTTTAAAGAAATGTCTTCAGAAAAGAGCTTGTTTTCATAGAAAGTATCTGAAAGAGAAGGCTGAGGTTCTAAGATTAGACTAGAAGCCAACATCCTACCCTGAGATAACTCACTGCTAGGTAAACCAGTCAGAACTAAACTAGCAGGGGATTTATTTTGGCATGACTCAGTCAGTATTTCAAAGTTTATGGCAGTAACTCAAGCTTGAAGTAGAAAGTATTAGTAAAACTTCCAGTTGCTGTTTTCATATTGCATGAGCCATAATAGCAGTTGATAAAAATTGAATAAGTAAAAAAATGAGCAGTTGTACCTAGTTAAGGGTTTTCAGTGTGGACTTAAGATCTTTAAAGGCAGTGGTTAAAGAGCACATAAGGTATTAATACATTTCTCAGAATGCCTAAACGCTTTTACGTTACAGTATTTGCTCATTTTCAAAAAATAATTAATTTCAGTGAACCATTTTTGTGCGCTACATCTACTTGTGGATCCTCATAATGGGCACTATAAAATGCTGCAGTAGTGTTGTGATCCTGGATATGCACAGTATTTGTGACCTGGTGCTGATGCCGTGTTCTGGCAGCTGTCATGTACAATCTCCTGGCTTGCTTTGTTCTTCTGGGCCTGGGGAAATAGAAGAGAAAAAATTTCCAGTGTACTCAGTGTAGCTGGCTGTGGGGACATAGGATAGAGAGGGAAGCAACTCTCCTGTCTTCCCAGCCTGGATATTTTTAGTGTTAACAATATACTGTGATTCAACAAACATTGTGCTACTGTTACTGTCTTTTTTTCTCCCCCACTATCAGTATTATGAAATATTCAAAAGACATTAAAGAGTGGACACAAGTGACCTTTTTTTGCCTTGTGTGTTCAGTGTGCAGACATTGTGCACACTGAATGCTGTCGTACAGTATTTTCTATTAACTTCTTAAGGTAAAAATGGTGTGCCAATGATACACAAGGGCAAATCTATATGGTGCTGGTTAGGAGGATTCCTTAAGCCATTTAGGCTTGCTGAATACACAGTTTGCTCCTGTTTGTCTAGCGATAGGATGTTTCAGTCTCAATCAATAAAAGCCAGATTGACAGAGTGTGAGTGTGCATAGATACACATTTCCACTAGATACACATTTTCACTAGCTTTGTTGACCTGGAGTAAAAGCATAGCTTTAGTTAAGCTGTTATTCGTCTGTATAGATAAATGTTTGCTGAACACTTGCTACTACATGAAAAACCTTAAGGATGAATGTAACAAATGTAAGGACAAACGTAATGTCTATACTTACACTTTTTATTACAGGACTGTTTATGTGTAAAATACTGTTTTGCTTATACATGTACCAGCTGCTCATTACTTGCCTTTAGTTACAACCTTTCTCAGGGTGACAAAGAGCGATGTGAGGTAAAGGGTGAATAGAGCACATAGGGACAACTTGAGAAGATAATTCTGTTTTCTTAGTATCTTACAATTCAAAAATAATCGCTATTTATGTTTTTGAGGCAATGGAATATTTTAGCTGGTGGAACCCTACAGGGAAGATTCTTGTTTTTCATGCTGTCAGCTTTGCTCTTCAAGGACATCAAGAACACACAATGCTATTAAGTATATAATGTTTGGCATTCCTGAAATATGCATTACTCATTTGTATCCACCATATTTTTTTCCAAATAAAACTGCAGGATCCACGCTGTAGCACTTTCTTTGTAAATATGTTTGTAAATCCTTATCAATCTGATATAAAGAAAATCCACTAAAAGAAGTGGGTTTTAGAGTTTGATATTCTTAACTCTTGAAAGATGTGTTCCATCCTGCGTTTCCTTGAAAGCTAGATGTATAGTAACCGATAATCTGGTAATTCACTTTGCTGAGACTGAGATGGTTAGTGAGATAATTTGCATCGTTCTGGAAGGAAAGTATGTATAGAAAAGAATCCCACATCCAAAATAGCAAATGTCTAAACACTGTTTATGTTGCACACAGACTTACCTGGTACTGCATGGAAAGCCTACTGTATTTTGAGGAATTAGTATGGAAAAGGAAATCTCTGACTGTTTAATCTTTCTTATTCACACTTAGTTCAGTAGAGACATGAGCTGGTTGTCTTAACAACTGTGGACCAACCTTCATTCACTTGGAATATTATTTCAGGATCATGGGCTTAAAAATCACTTGAATAGTTGAAACAGCGATGAGTGGTTAATGTGAGTGAATTAAAGTGAATGGCCAGTTGATTCTGAACATGTATTAGCAGCTTAAGGAGGATTTAAATGTTACTGTGTTTTTCCACAGGAGTTATAAATGTACTCAGCATGCTTATCAGAACTGGGAAACATGCAGGGTATCACCCAAAAATGTAAAATTCATCATGACAATAATTGAGTCAAACTGGAAAGATTGAGCAGATTTGTTATGTGAGTTCACACAGGATTTGGCTCTTGACCATGAGTTTGTTAAGAACACCGGAGGGAATAAAATAAAAGTAAAAAATCTACAGATGCCACAAAACTTAAATACTAAGGAACTACTTAAAGAGAGTAAGATGAATTGCTTGGTAGGGAGCTGTAAGCAACTTGCATTTCACTGTGGCCTAAAATGGACCTGTGTTTGTACTAGCATGGAGGTTTGAGAACATACTTAGCAAGTAGAACAATTTGTGGTAGGAAATGCTGACTTGGAACAATGTGTGGAGACAATGTGCAATTCTCAAGTGAACATGAATTTTCAGCATGCCTTGCAGCCAAAAGGGCCGGTGAGATCCTGAGGTTTAGAAATGGGAATACTGTCAGGGAAGTAATATTGCGGACTGTATTTGACTCTGGTGTAACCTTTTGAAAGAATGCTATGCCCAATTCCAGGAGTCATAATTTTCAGTAGTGCTGGGAAGTTGGACAGAAAAAGCCATGAGAGCAATAAGAGGATTAAAAAAAAGCACTGGCATGAGAGTCTCAACAAACAGAATTTGCTTAGTTTAGTGAAAGAATTAGCCTAGACAAAACGTCTTTGGACAAAAAAAAAAGTATAATAAGGAACTGTTCCATCTAGCAGTGAAAGAGTGATCCAGCAATTCTAAGTAGAAGTTGGACATGTTACAAGAAGGGATAAAGGTACATAACAGAATGGTAAAGACTTCCCTGTCTGGACATGTTAGATGATTTCATGAAAAAATGTGATTTGATAGAAAGAGGACCAATTCAGGCAAGTCAGATCCATGTTACACAACAGGTCAAAGCAAATAATCACAAGTCATATTTGGCTACCCCAGGAGTAACTTGTCTGCTGATAGAATTTCACAGGGGTTTGGGAGCCAGAGATTGTGAACTCATTTCAGTTCTGCTGTAGTGTAATCAGTACACAGAACAAGTTGTGTGCTAAATAGGCTACTGGATACGTTTAGCCTTGTTCTTTCTGTCTCTAGAGAATTGCAAATGGTCTACTAATGCACACTCTGACTTGACTCATGGCTATTAGGATATGGCTCATTAGTTTTAAATTTCATTATACAATAAGTCCTGTGATGGTTTGGGCTATATATACTTTCATTATGAAAATGAGGTGAACAGACACAGAAGGAAAGTGCCTGTGTAAATGTCAGCTTTATTGAATGTAGCTAACTTATTTATTTTTCCAAGCTTTTAAAAGTTAGAGATCTTTTAAGGTTTATTAGATGCTCTTGGACCCCTTTTTTCCATTCTCGTTTACCTGGCATTTCTCTGTACTTTCACAAGCAAGTTGCAATACAGTGGCTATTTTCAATTCATTTTCAGCTCATAACAGGATCTATATAAGACAAAATAAAAAATCCAGTGTTTCCTTATTTATAGTTAAACTCGACCTTGTATATACCAACCAAAGATGCCCCATAAAGCTTAGAGAATTTAAAGTGTGCTCATAGGGTTCTGCTCTAGCAACATATTATGAGAAAAATGTATTTTCTATACATTTTAGAATAATTCACTAAATTATATCTAAATAGATTAAGCATTTAATGGACTTTTTTACTCAGTACATGTGGCAATCTGATTCTGTTTAAAATGCTAATAAATGCATCCCATCTCTAATGAAACTAGTGCTCCCTGCATAATTAATTAGCATTTAATACAGATGAGGACAGGAAAGCCATATTCACAGTCATTTTTAACCAGAATAGTTAATAAAAGAATTCTTCACAGTTCTGAAAGGTCACACGTGAATAGCTCATTTCTCCAAAACGGGTATTTTTTTGCAAGTAAAAATTTTAGTGAAGTTTACCTGGAATCATTGGTCCATACAGCTTTTATCCACAAGGTGGCATTCCTAACAGGAGTTTACAAGACATGGTAATTTCTTGCAGTTTTTGAAGAGCTCTAAGCGAAAGGCAGTCATGAGCATTTGTAATGTTATATGAGATTTATATGTTTTAATTTTTATAAAATGTAATTAACAGTAAGTCAGAAACATTAATGATAATTAGTTTAATACTGATTGATATGTGGAGTACCCAGAAATATGTAATGGTTCCAGGTCAGCAAAACAGCATATATTAATTCATGGCATTATATGCTACTATGGACACTTTCCAACGGTAAATCTGGAATGAATTTTGCTTTAATAAAAGAATATAAAATAATTAAAAAATCAATTATTTAAATCAAGAGCACAAATAATATCATGGTCTTATATGCAAAACCCCAGTGTTTGGGGTTTTGGTTATGGTGCAGCTTTTAGTGAATGCTGGGTTAAAGAAGAGCACATGACAGTATTCACAGGGGAGGATTTTTCATAGCTTAATGTTACAATGACCAAGAAGCATATTTTCAGATGCCTGCCATCCAGGTTGGTCACTGAGCCCACAGGCAGCCCTGCTTTCTTTCAGGCTTTATATCTTCTTCACTTTCTTGTAATCTTTGCATGCTATATATATGTATAAAAAGAATACATTGCTTGTTATTCATTTTATACAAGCATGAAGGGAGTATAATACAACCTGCTAAACCAATCCAAGTGTACTAGGTTTTATATAACAGGGACATGCATATTATGCTTTTCTCCCCCATGGGTAAGGTCCTGATCTTACTTTTGCTTCTTTTGCTGACTCTGTAAGATCAGACCTGAGCTAAGTAATCATTTCTGTTTCCATTTTAGCTAGTGCCCTAGTTGCATTTTGTTTCGAAAAAAAGCTATAATCTAAAGTTTATGCTTAAACTGGAATCCAGTGTAAACTGTGGATTTTTTTTTTCAAGTCTGTTTCAAGTCAACAGAAAGGGATACGATAGAGTAGTTGTTTATTTGTTTGTTTGCCTTATTGTTTTGTGGTAGCAAAAATTCTGTGGTGTCTTTTCTAATGCATGTGTACATTTCCTGTTAATCCTTCTGCTCCACGTGCTGCCCCCCACTGATGCCAGAGCCCTCTGGTTTTGCTTCCTATCATTTAACACAGCTGAGAGGATGGAGTAGCAGCTACATCCACTGCTGACACTAATGACAGTCTTTGCTGAGTGACAGGGTACTACTTTGACATTAAGCAGATATTCTTTTTCCTAACATGCTGTTGTACCTCTCTCATTTCTCAAAGATGGCTATGCAAAGCAGAATATGAATTCTTGTTCACTGAAAACAACAGTCAAAAAAACCCCCACTTTCAGAATGATCGGGCAGGTAGAACCTACCTGCTGGATGAATCTGGCTCAAGGACTGCAGAGACAAACCTTCTGAGTTATTATTGTCTCATGATGACTACCAGTAAAATTTGAGGGCCTGAACATGTCCCATATACTGCAAATTTTAAAGAAATGTGGTGAAAATGTCTATTTCAAGGGTGTGGAAATGGCTGGACAAAGAAAGTTATACATAATAATTAGGAAATGTTGATGAGGAAGTAAATAATTTGTGGCTGTTACTTTTCAAGTTACACATTGAATTTTCTTTGTAGTAGTTAGGCATAGCACTAGGTGAGTAGATGGGGACAAGGTTCCTCTGAGAAGAGCAACAAGCCAGTCCTAGGGAGGAGGTTTAAAAATAGGAAAAACAAATGTACTGAGGAAAGAAACATTCTCTGCTTTGATGACTGCCATGTGGAAAGGGCTTGTAGTGAAGGATAGTCTGTAAACAGAACTATACACAGCTAAACAAGTGAAGAGGTTAGTCAAGGTAATGGCAGGGTTCAGGGTCCCCCAAAAAGCCATAATGTGTAGGGTGCGATGGACACCACCAGTAGAAATCAGTGGTCTTGAGCATTGCTGATGTTGCTTCTGGGGCATCTCATGATGTAGGATCAGATGGATATGCACTCCAACTCCCAGAAATGTGGGAAAGAGATTGCACTGAATTTGTCCTTTTGCCTTAGTTATATGACAGCAACTAAGAGTTCATATAACCAAGAGCTTGCAGGTAACACTGTCAGAAAAAAAACATCCATAATGACTGCAGACAAATAATAGTCCTGATACTTTATGATGGATCTGCAAATTACTTTATTAGTACAAAGCACGTCAGGGGCTAATTTGATGCGGTTTATTGTTTGCAAGAGGTGGATTATAAATGTTGGGAATTGCATCTTATGTAACTGCTGCTGGGTAGGCATAGGTATGAGTAAGTGTGAACTGGGAAAGGAAAATGATACTGGGAACTGTAACCACAAGTATTATCACTTCCCATATGTAACAAACTTTTGCCTAGGGCAAGGAAGCACAATTACTGACAGAAGCTGTGTTTGTTCATGCAAGTGATTTTATTGCTCTAAGTGATTTATCACTGTGGATTATGTTTTTTGATGAAAGACTTTTCTGGAATAATTGTACTCAAAAGGAAATGAGTTGTTTACCTTCAACAGACAACCAGGTCTGTCCATTGAAAATAAGTTACATTTTTAAAGGACTTTTGTGAGGGTTTTTAATTGGTGGGATACAATGGGCCATTATGCAACATGGGGGTTTGCTTCCCCAAGTTAGTAACATAATCTCTTTCTCTCTCTCCCTTTCACTTCCTTGGTCTCAGAAATCTAGAACTACAGATTTTAGAAAATCATCAGATACTTAAATATTTCATATACTTCCAAATTATATGATTTCACTTCATCTATTATCAAAAGAATATGCTGGATTCTCTGAATTTATATTAGATGCTGAAGATACATCCTCAAACAGTCCTCATTTCCTTTTCAAAAAGATGTTACATTTTCAAATTGTGCAGCACCTGCATTGCCAGAGTCTCTGTTCCTTGTGCTCCTGGATCATTGATGGTAAAGCTCTTACTTTCTTATGCATTTATATTGTTGTAAAAAGAAATAGTTATAAGTACAGGTACCTTCCTTCTCAGAGGCATCTGAATGCAAAACAGGCACAGTTATCCACTGTGGTACTTTGGCCTGACATGACAATTACTTTACTAAAGGCAAATCAAACCTAATACCCAGTCAACCTCTGTTCAAATGCACAGTGGCAAAGCTGAGCTGGAAGATACCAAGTGCAAAGTGAACTTTGCTGTATAGAGCTGTATAGAGCCAGTATAAAAGCCAGTTGAAAACTACTTCACAAACTACTAAGATCTGTGTAGTGCCCAATACCACAAATTGTTACTCATTTCCGCAAGGCACAGCTGACAGCTGATGGGGGAAATGAAGAAATATAAATTACTTTTCTTTTTAAATCTGTCCAAAATAAAATTTGCCTTCTGTGAGCACTTAGCTACTTGTGCTAAGCCTTGGGGTGAAGAGTGGGTCTCCCACCTCCCAAGGTGGTGGCTCTTTTGTCAGTTCCAGGGCAGCAGAAGAATCATCTTCAGTGATGAGATTTTTTTCCTTGTATTAATGCATGATCTGTTTCATAAATCAAATTACATATAAATGAAACAGCTTAAAAGTAATTGTGCAGCTGAGCAACTGATGAGTTATTGTGCCTTATGGCTGCTGTGGCTGTGTGGGTAAGCACAAAAAAGACAAAAATTGGTCTCTTTAACCTCCAGTGTCCCTTCTATCTCCCCAATGAGTTTTCTGTCACTTTAATTTAGGATGTATTTTGATCAACTTATGAAATCAATTATATGATACATTTGTCTCCAATTCCCCAGAAACAATTATCCAGTCCTGTGTTCCTAAATTCCCTCCTGTACGCTGCCTTACTATTTTTTTTGATAGCTGTAATAGATGTTGTTAGTGATGATGCTGTTTGTAGATCTGGTTTTAGAGGTTAGACGGAAGAATTAAGCAACATTTGGAGTGTCATTGAGACCACCTTGGTAATTTTTTTTTGGTTTGCAAAGCAGATGTCTCTGTAATGCACTCAAATTCTTCACCGTCACCCATTGTCAAAGTCATTTCAGCATAACTATTTTTTAATTCTCTAAGCCTTTTCATGGAATAATTTAAAATCAGTCTTTGTAGGATAAATTTAACTCTATATTACAACTCAAAATACCAGAATCATAAAATTTAGAAAAAATATTCTTGTAATAAGCATTTTGTAATTAATTTAATTAAGTTTCTTCCAGGGTGATACTTGGACTGCAAATCAAGAGTTTTATTTCCCTTTTGGCCTCTGGTATCCTCTGAAATGTTCAGACTTAAGTTCTGTGAACTGTGTTGTCATTTTGTGTTGTGACACTGTGTTGTCACTAATTCTGACAGCAGGATTTTACAAACTGTCATGAGTTCTGAACAAAAGGAAAAGTGTATGTATGCAACAATTTTCAGTGAATCGGAAAACCAGGAGACATTATTTTGTTATTATAACTTGACCTAAGAGGAGAAGAGGTGCATATGTATGAGCATGCAGATATTTGATAAGTTGATATCTTTCCCAGAAAGCTTGAAAGTGGTGATTTTTGCAACATTTCAAATTGATTAGGGGATGTTGGGGTTTTCTTCCTACCCAGATTCATGAAGGAATGACACAAAAATTAAGAGCTATTTTTAAAATCGGACTTTGATATGTAGAAAGTAATAAATGGGGGGAAAGTGGTAGCAAAAGTCAGATCCAGTGAATAGTGAGAAGCTGGACACAATTCTGCCAAATGTGTGTGAATTAATGCCCAAGACTGAAATACTGACACCTTAAACAGTTCCTTTAAACATAGCCATGACTAAAGCAGGCTATTTCTAGCCTTAAAATCTTACTATAAAAGCAGACCTGTGGTTTTCTTGAGAGATTTGTGTAAATTCTTGCTGCAGGGAGGCTAGGTAGCAGGGAAACAGCTTTCTAGGGGGAGCTGAGAGGGGTGGTTCTACTTTTTGTCTGGCAATAATTCTGATCTAAAGGAATAAGAAAACATTGAAAATTTTATTTAAACGTCAGAAATTGTATTTAACGTGGGATGGGCATTTATAGTTTAGCAGTCTGTTTATCTGAAGCTGTATGACTTCCTCCTGACTGTGAAGGTTCCCAGGACATCTTGTTTAGTTTATTGTGTGTTTTGAGAGACAGAAAACGTGAAAGAATTTATGTATATGCACATGTATATATAATGTACATGCATACAGATTGTATATGTATTTCAGTTTATTGTGTGCACAGAATATCATGCTCTCAGGGTCAGGAACACAGCGTGGTCCACAGCCCAGGGCCCCAGCTGGCCTTGGCCCTTGGCTGGTTTTGTGCAGCACCATTGCCTGACCTTGGCTCACTGTCACTGAGAAGGCTGTCACTGAGCTCTGAGAGTCTGTAAACTGAAACCGTGTAAGATAAGAAAAGTAAAAACAGGCAGAACTGAATGTGCTGAGCTGGGAAGACTGTCTTGGGGACTGGGGACAAACACTGATGTGGAATCTATAAAACCTGAGGGAGAGATCAGAGACGTAGAAGATGGCATCTCTGCAACTATGAGGACTTGTACTGAAGTACTGGGGTATTTTGACATGACTGAAATGCTTTTCTTATTAAATATAAAGTCTGCAACACCAATAAAAAGTAAAAGCAATCACCTCATATGCTTCTCTCTTCTTTCCCCCTTTTCCTTTTCCACATTTTTTCTGCACTGACCCTCATCTCGTCAGCTCCCTCTGATCCATCTGAAATACGCTTCTCTGATCAGCCTCTGGTCAAAAGTGCCTCTTGATACCTTTTACTGCTTTGCTGTCGTTTCACTCCATGAAATCACGTGAATCATATAAACCCCCAAGGCACACTTGGCATGTGGTACTGTTGTCTCCAGTGTCCACACTGGGATGGTTGTGTGGCCCTGGGGCACTGCAGTGACCAGCGAGCCCTCTGCACTGCCATGCAGGTGCCCAGCTTGGCAATATTCCCAGCCCCAATGTGAGTATCTGGGGTAGGGACTAAGGGCCCGAGAGGCTTTGTGCTATCGCTTACACAGGCACCCAGGTGAAAATAACTTTGTTTCTAATCACAGCAGGCACTGGGGCTGCTAGGCCCTGGCAGAGGTTCCCCCTTGCTGTCAGAGCCAAAGCCAGCGGCTGTCTCCATAAGCACAGTATGTTTCATATATGGCAGACTCTCAGCTGCCTTCAGATCCCTCTGATTAAAGAAATCACCTTGTTCTGGGAGTGTCTAGTGTGCCATCTGGGATGTGCTCTGCAGCTCCTCAGACCGAACTGGAGAAGCTGTGTTTCCTTGTCTCTCATGTTTTTCATAAGTCTCCTTCCTACCAGCACCATATTTCTTGTTGCCAATCTCCTCATCTCATTTCTGCTACCAGGTAGTTAAGAAAGCAGAAGGACATTGGACAAAAGGGACTACCTGGACAATTTAAGCTGGAGTGCAAGTATACATTGGTTCCATCCATTTTAATTGGGGGGGGATTTGTGGTTGGTTGGATTTGTTATTTGTTGATTGTTTTATTTGTTTTTTTTTTAATAAATTAAGATGCAAACATAAAATGGTTGGCAGTTTAGCTGTCCTTGAAATGTCAGGTCTGAGAAACAGATTTGGAATGAGATTTATCTCTGATTTTGTTAGAGTATCCATTTTGGCATATAGTGAAAGTTACAGTGAGAAATTATGTTAGTGCGAGGTCTCCAAAGCTACAAAGTGTGAACTAGATATAGACAAAAGGTGGAAAAATGTATTCCATGAACTAACCAACCCCTTGATTAAATCACTCAGGAACCTGTACAAGTACGATTCCATACAGAAGGAAGAGATGAAGGTGCACAGGAAGAAAGGCTTTCTAGTCACACCGTGAGCTCCTGCTCTGTAGCAGCTGCTGCTGCCCAAACTCCTCTAAGAAAACCAGTCTCTGTTGTAAGCTGATGGCAGAAATGTTGTTGCACAGTGTGCAGTAGCATTTACTTTTGGGCATTTACTAAACAGGCAAAAGATACATTTTGGAAAGAGACTCACAGCAGTCTATCAACTGGAAAATAAATTATCTTTTTCTGCAGCCCACTCCATTATACCCCACTGCCCTTAGTTGCCTGCTCTGAACTTGGATTCACTACATTTCCAGGCACATCTGGACTTAGAGAACATATAATGTAGCACAAGGGAGAGCAGGTGGTCCTGTGCAGCCCTGTTTGTGTTCAGCCTAATCGGAGAGATTGGCTTTTGGAGGAGGGGCAAAGATCTGGGGGCATATATGCAATTCATCATCACTGTTTCCAACTGAATGTGAGAAACTGCTACACCTGCTGCTCTGCTTCAGATGGGCTTTGAAATATAGGCAGGCTGAAGGACGTGTGAGTTTTTCTTTCATGATAACAAAAATAAGCACTTTGTTCTGGTATCTGTAAAGTTAAGGCAGTTTCCTACAAGCAGCGATAATTCAAGAGCAGTTTCTGGCTTGTGATTGACGCATGAAAAGGAAGAGTATTTTTGGAAACGCTGGTTCATTTTATTATTAAAAAAAGGGAAAGAAAATCACTGCTAATTTTCAGTTTGCTGAGTCTTTTAATACATAATTTCCAACTGAAACACATTGAATTGTCAGAAGAGAAATAATTAATTGCTGTGAGACAAAATCATCAGTATAAAGTAACTGCTAGAAATCTTCATCGTGCCCTAGGAAGGAGTCCAGGTGCCTTTATGCCACAAGAAGTTTAAACAATGTTCAGCTGTGAACCAGGACCCGGAATAATAATGCAAAGCAAATGCCTGTTGACATATACAACCTGTCTCAGGGGAATGAGAGTGTGTTAGAGGGCTGGGAAGATCCCTAAAACCAAACTGCAGGTATGGGTGCCCTGATGGGAAGCGGACCAAACATACAGTAGCTTGGAGGCTGTGTTGGAAGATGCAAGCTGTAAATGCACTTTCTGTGTTTGCCAGACACTTTTAGAGAAAACTGGGAAAATTCAGTCCCAACTCATGAAAGATTTTTGCAAATCTGCAGATGCCAAGCCTGAGTTTGAGGTCCAGGAGAGGCCTGTCCAGAATCACCTGTGTGATTGTTGCTACAGCAGTACTAATGCATCCTCCCGAGTGCAGAAATTGGAGAATTTTGCTGCCCTGCCATGGGGAGCAGGTGGGTTCATGCCCAGGGTGAGCACAGGGCTGGGTCCTGCTTTCCAGAACTACCAGTTGTGGCTGCCCCATCCCATCCTGGCCTCCTTCACCCTCTCCCCTTGCTGCAGTACCACAGCTGCCTCAACCACTGTCCTTCCCTGCAGTGAGTGGTTTACCTGCACTGCCAAGAGCCCTTGAGCTAATTTGGAGATTTAGGGAAGGCAATAACAGGTATACTAACAGTGTGTATAGATAAAGTAATACTCGATTATTATACCTACAATCTGTAGGTTCATGGAAATTCATTTATTTAAGCAAGCTATGAATTATTCTGGGTTTTTTCATCACCTGACTATCTGGCTGACTCTGTGTAACATTAGCATCTACATCTGTATAATGGAAGTAATAGCACTATGCATCTTTGAAGACAACCCTGGAATTTCAGAATAAAGAGTTTATTTAAGTGTTGGATTTTACTTTGTGGAAACTGCAACCTGATTCATTTCAAAAGTGTTGTGGAGTCCAGTGGGAGCAAGATTGGATTACTGCAAAATGCAGGCTTGAAATCAATTATATATTTATTACCTTTAAAACAATTATCCATTACATTCCCTCTTAACCTTTTCATTATTGTTTTACACAGGGTAAAAGAGCTACCCCAAGAAGTGACTCTGTCCAAATGTGAACATGAACAGAACATCATGCTTTCCAAAGCAATTACAATTCTCATTCACTCTTTTCCATCTCCCTCACGCTTGCTGTGTGTAATGAAGCTGAAAGACAACAAGGGACATGGTCACTGGAGATACTTGTCAAGCCTGTGACTGAAGCTACTGATGTTCTCTACTAATGTGCCACGTGAAAACTTGGGTAAAGAAGTGCTACAGTTCCAAAGTCAAACATTCAGTTACTATGAAATAACCAAGTCATATCTTCCAAGGCAGCTTGGAATTGAGCTTCCTTAGCTCAATTTTCCTATTTATGCACATTATAATATAGTATTTAATTATGTCGTCACAGATAAGTTACTCCTGAAATTTCCTCCTAATAACTTCTCTGAGCATTTGTGTATCTATGTAGCCCTTAGAGCAGGGCCTTTATTTTTCCCAGAGAGCATTGTGTTAGAACCCAGCAGAGAGAGATTTGATCTAAACTCTTGATTTCCTAAAGTCTCAGAGGCAAAGTCAACCTGGCATGACAGCCCTTAGTGAGGAGAGCTGGAGGCTTGGCCCACAAAGTACAAAGTGGAGCTATGTGTCTGTCTATCCCATCCACTTCTCCCTTACATTTTGCTAGAAGTACAGTGACCAAAGTGATGGCCCAGTGCTTCCCCAGCAATTCAGCCCCACCACTTTCTGATTAACCAAAAGCCCCTTGCCCAGTTGGAAGAGCCCATCTGTGCTAGCTGAGGATTGAAGATTTTATTTTGCTCTAGAGAAAGGAAAACGGCAGTGTGGTTTTAAATCCTTTCACAGAGAAACGGTATAGAGCAGGTGGCCAAACACGCTAAGGAGGACTTTGGACTCAGGCCATGGCTGGTCTGAGACTGGGAGGTGTCAGGAAACACCTTGCAAAACACTGGGAGTAAGAGCGGACAGCAGCTCTGCAATTTTCATTTTCCTTTCGGCAGTAGCTAATTAGTCTCTGTGTAAGGAACGGGTTTCTGGTGAAAAGCAAAGCCCTGCACTGGCTGTTACCAAGCAATTATTCATTGCCATTCAAGCAATTATTGCTGCCTCTGGGACAGCAGCTACTTTCTACTTTGAGAAACACCGGAGACAACTTTCCATTAAGCAGTCACTCTTGTTTACAGGAAAATGCACAAATAAATAATAGAAATAATCTACCAAGGCAAAATTTGATCTTTTTGATTTTTAAGTGAAAAACCCAAGGGAAGACACTGATGTAGAAAACACTGAAGGTTTTTGGCTCTACCTGGGGAAAAATAAAAACTCTAAATAGTTGACAGCCTTTCTCTAAAAGATTTACCTTATGTTTTCAAAAATGATGGTAACCTCTCCAAATAGGTAGAAAAATATCAGTAATCCCAAGTTTGTGGGGGAACAAAGAGCTTGCATAGCTTTTCTTCCAAAGACTTAGTTGCTTTCAAGTGTTCCAGTTGGTGATTATTTCAGTAGGAAAGTTTGAAAGGATGAATGTGTCTGTTCGATGCTAAATGACACTCAAGATGATCCTTGCTGCATGCACTGGCTCAGGGTTGCTGAAGACCTGTGTTTGAAGCCACGTGAACAGCAGTGAGGTTGCACATTCAGTGCCACACAGAGGCATCTGCAGTTTAACAGGAATTTCTTTGTCTGGATATGAGCACTGTACATGCCTAGGTCTCCATTACGTTCAGTTTCGAGGTTTCTTGCCGGACACTGATTTATAAAAAGCTGGTTAGAAATAATGAACAGGATCAAATGGAAATGAACGGCGCAGCAGGGAGAGGATCTGTCCTTTTAACAAGCCGTGGCAGTAACAGATGAAGCAAACTGGCCTTCCCTGGCTCCTCAGCTTGGCTGGGGAATTGCTCTCACGAGGGGGCCGAGCCCACAATAGTGCGGAAGCACAATCGCTCATAAAACTAGAAATGTTGCTCTCCTGGAGGGCTTACGTGGCACATCGTTGTGCAGAGCTGGGGAAATAACGTGCGCATTTCTCATTCAGCCTTTCGATGGTGATAGTAGGCTTTTTCAGGAGTTTTGCCGACTTCCCACATCATACTTTCGTAGCCTAAAGCGGGTCAAAGCCGGGAAGACCGTGGCAGCCTGTGCTCTGCTCGGGAGAGCAAAGACAGCTCTGGTGCTGTCACCGCCCGGGGTGGGAGCGCTCCCGGCACACGGGCCTGGGGACGGAGCAGCCGCGAGTCAGTCATTGAGAGATCGGCTGCGCTCGGGGACACGCTCTTTTCATTCCCAGTTTTCCGGGCAGAAAGGCTTCCCCAGCAGCCATCTGCCGGGCCCCGCTCCCAGCCCGCCTGGGGTGTAATGGCTCCTGGGGGAAGCATCTGACTCATTTGCCCTGGGCTGATAACATATTGCACATATTTTGCAGGCGGCAGCTGATCTTTTTGATGCCTCCTGATGCCTTAAAGAGAGTTTTGTTCCTTTTGCCTCCAATGTACATGCCGGTTCCTCCATGGTGTTTTTGAGGGCAGAACCTGTCATCCCACAAGTTATTACTTGCATCTGTACATCTGCCTCCTCTGAGAGAACTGAGGTGTTGGTCCTTCTGAAGACATCACATAATAGTTTTTTAAAGGGGCCCTATTTACTAAATAAGTTACGCTTTACCTAAGAGTGTTCATAAAACTTTGGAGTAATGCCTTAAAATCAGCTAAAATTACTTTCTTGTTGATCTGTTCTATTCTACTACATTCCTTTATTTTATTTTATTTTATTTTATTTGTATTCTTCAGCTTGCTCTTTTTACTCCCATGTAGCCCTTATAAACACGTTACTGTTAGTATATCAGGATCAAAGGAAAAAAGAAAGACACTCTATTGCTATCTCTTTTCATCCTCCCCTGAGGATGCTGTGATTTAGTTTCTAATCTGGAGGGCACTGTCATTGGGAACAATGCCAAGTCCTTTTTGCATAGCATGTATGAGATTGAAATTGCTCATTAAAATTCTTTCCCACCTTAGTGCACAGTGTTTGCTGTGGGCTGCACTGTTGTTTGACTGTCTGTGTCAATACCGTCTGGCCTCTCAGCATCTCCGGCCTGGCAGGGCCTCGTTATCCCTTTCTGACCCTGCCTTGGAATACTTGCAGGATTGTATTCGGGTGCCTTCCAAGTTTCAGCATCTTCCCTTTATAGATTTAATGGCCTCACCAGTTTTATCTGCTGCTGATTTTTCAGCTCATTTATCTTGGTTACATTTAGTTAGTTGAGACTAATGTTTTGTTGAAAAATATCTCTCTTGGTCCCCAAGCTGAGCTTTTGAAGTGAATAGATTTGGGTAGAAATTTGCAAATGAGCTATTAATATCATCACTGCAAAGATACTCTCTTCACCATCGTACCCACGTTGGCCTGGAGGGGATTGCTTTTCCTGACTGATAGTCAAACAGTTGCCAGCATCACTTTCTCCTTTCATTACAGCTGGGACTTTCTGTCTGTAAGCCTAATCTACTGCTGAGTGCTATACTAGAGCCAGTCTTACTTCTGAAGGTGAGACTGTTTTATATTAGTTTTTATCTCAAAAGAAAGGAAAAATATATATTTTATCTCCAACTATTAATTAATAATTAATCTGAATTCTTATTCGGCTCTTAAATTTAGATATCATGAGATACCATCTGGGAGCAGGAGGCAGAAGTAGTTACACATGCTAAACCAAAACCCCTCTCATTTGCCTTGCTCAGTAACATGTGAAACTGTGATGAGCTACTTCAGAGATCCCATCACTGCAACCATAGGGCACCTCCTCAAGTAACACAGCTCAGCAACAGGGAAGCACCTGGTAGTCTTTTTAGAGTTAGTCTGTCCTCTTGCAGTTTTCTCGTGTTTGTCAGCCTGATGTTGCAAAGTGCATAAAGGTGCACCCATTTTTCTGTGTTAGGAGTAGTTCTTGGCATTCCTTCAAACAGGATGAACCTGTGTTTGCCTCGACTCCAGGCTGGTGTGGCTGAGGATGCCTCTACTGCCTCCCTTTCCAGCTTGTCGCTGTGACACACAGGCACTCTCCAGCCACTGTGACACACACACTGTGCCAGGTCTCTGTGGCCCAGGCACCACAAGGGTTGGTTGCTCAGCTGCTCTACAGCTGCAGCACTCTCTGTACAGCTGGAGAAATGCCATTTGTACCAGCTGAAGGTCTTCGTCAAGTATTTAGTGGTCACATCTTTCACAACTCCTGCCCATTTTTATATCCTTAATGATGTGTGAGTGAATGATTAAAATTCTACTACTAAAAGTAGTAGATGTTTGGAAAAGGTCTGATCTACATCCCACAGAAGGAAGAAAAAATGTCATAATGTTTGGTCTTGCATTTCGTTGAGAAACTGGTCAAACCCTCAGAGATACAGATCAAGTTGAAAAACAAATCTAATTTCCTAAAGTTGGAAGAAAACTTGAGAGACACCATCTTAAACCAACAAGTCATTTTATTAGAGGAGAACCAGGAGACAGAGCCAGTCCGGGAAAACAAGCTCTTCCTGGTGTCAGTCCATGACATCACAGCACTGCTGGGGCAAGTGGGAGTGGAGACCTCAGGGAGGGACAAGCCTCTCCCTGGCTGGGAAGCAGAAGTGATGGCAGCATCCTGAGCAGGGGTGACAGATGGTATTTTTTCTGCAAAGCAGGGATGGGAATGTCCCACCACTGAATTCCTAGGCTGCGCTTCGGTGGACTGCAGAGGGTAGTACCATGCCCGGAGACAGGGAGCCAAACAATCACAAGATCTAATTGCAACTTCAACTACCTCCTAGTCAGTGAAAGAAAGTTATGTGAGAGTGACCAGATTGGAAGTGAGTTTTCTGCTCCTTGTGCTTATTTCCTCAGCAAAGACACATTAGCTGACAAGCTGTGAGGCATTTCTAATACTTTTGTCACGACTTATTATCATGGCTGCTTTCTGCAGGATATTCCCAGCCTCACAGGCCACTTAACATTTGTAGCAGCTATCACCAAAATGAGTGCAATATGTCTTCAGTCTCTTAGTCTCCTCCAGAATGGATGGGGTGCAGAGAGCAGGGAAAGAGAGGGTGTTTCTCCTGGAGACCCTCATCTACTGCGGCAATTTAACCTAAGCTAAAACTAATCATACAGGTTGTATCATTTAAAAGGAATACTCCCAGGTAGAAAGGTAAACACATGCTTCAGAGTAAGGCTAGGTTAGGGGGTGAATAAATATTCCTGATACTCAGGGCCATTTAATGCAAAAATGTTAGTTACGGTACAGAGGGCTTAGTTTGATAGGATAAAAAAGACCAGCTGACATTTCTAGATCCCACAGCCAAGTTGATAACAGGTATTTTACTCTGTTATTATCCATGGATTATCATCTAGTGACATTAAATTGCTGATAATAATGCTAACCAGTGGCACAGGGTTCAGCAGGAGGGCATCCCAGAGACTACAGCAAGACTTGTGTTGAGTGGGGCAGTTAACATGACACATGTGGGCACAGGTGGAAAGTCTTCAGGAAGGCAAAACATTTTTCTTTCCTTTTGGAAATTGCTTTCTCTGAAAACACGGCTTTGCCTTAAAGCCAAAAAATTGACTTCATGTTGCTAGGAGGATGTGCTGAATGAACAGGATACAATATTAATACTCAGAAAGCTCAGTGTCACTGCTCCCTGGTCTTTGCCTTCACAGTCATGGAACAAAGCAATCCAATGAAAGAAGTTAAATCTCAATATTTCCATAAGGAACTTGTGTTCTGAAATAGATTTCCTTTTGGTGCCCAAAATTAGACATCACAGAGAATTTTTTAGAAATTGTTGATCAATTCCAGCTCTGAACATAAAGGCTCCTGGCAATTCAGCCATGGTGAGTATGCACAGCTCTATCCGTATTTAGGTATCTGAATGTGAGAACCCTGGCCATGATCTCCAAGCTGACTTCATGAAAGAACACAGAGCTGCTGCAGCTCAGCTCATTCTTGCTATTTTCGTGATCTTTTGTGCTCCATAGGTATATTTACGATGACTGAAGGAAAACAGCCCTGTTTTATGGGAATCGAGGGAAGGAAATAGCATTTCTTGAATATGTTTTTGGTTTTGTTTTTTATTTTAAGTCTGAATAGAGGACTGAAGCTTTTGGCCTCCACAAGTTCAATGAAATGCTTAAATACTGAAACATTTTCACTCTTGGCTCATTACTTGGGACTTTCAGCATTGTGT